AACGGGCACACCGAAACCATCGGAACATCGATAACAATAATCGATACGTGTGTTCATCAGATTTTTTCTGCAAAAATTGGGTGTGTACTTGTTGGTTTTCAACATTAAATTTCTTGGAGCTTCAACGGTCACGTATCATAAAATATTGAATTAAATTGGTAATTAAATGCATTTACTTATATGTCGAATTTTATATTATTATCGGCAAAAGAAATTACAAATTGCTAAACGCAATTATTAACCGACCTGTTCGCATTTATCATATGTACATATAGAAATTAATATTCGTGAATGTACATATACGGTTTAAGTGTTTTTAACTAAATTTTTATATTCATACATATGATACAAAAATATATATGATATATACAAAAATGTAAATTTCAATTGTAAAATATATTTCTATTTGTATACCCATGCGCGTGAATTGATTTTGTGTTGTACATATAAAAATGTTGCTGTAAGCGGGTTATTTTATCGATTCAACAAATACAGAAAACTATATTACCGTTAGTAAGTAGCATTGTATGTATGTGTGTGCATGTACATTCTTACTTTGCGGAAAAAGGGTGTTAGTATTGCTGTCTATTCAAATAATTTACATATGTATATGCTAAATGACAGACCGACAATGTTGATGATGATGATGGTGACTCAATTATTTGAAAAAATCGTTTTGTTTGTCATATATTGTACATACAGACATACAATTGTACTTCATCAAATATATATGTCATACCTAAAAAGCATTTAATATCACTTAAGTATACAAACATACATATGTATTACATACATATGTACATATAACGTATATGCTTTTTTGTAACATTTGAATGTGCAAGATGTATCGTGATTCGCTACAATATGTTTTCTTTTTTTTCACACAAAACGCAGAAAGCATAACCAACATCAAGAAAAAAAAACAAATAAAGGTCAATGCTCGCTCGCGTGCTCCCATTACCCAAACATAGTACTCGATTGAACTAACTAGTTTGAGCGCATTGATACGCTATGTGCACGAATTGAAATCCCATATAATGATGGCATTTTGCAATGTCTTAATTCCAGAATCATGTCCGGCAGCCCAAAGCCAGTTAAAAAGGTGCCCATACACTTACAAAGTGCTCAAAATCGTATTTATATTAAAAACGGCGAAATCGTCAATCATGACAAAAGTTTCAAGGCGGACGTCTACATCGAGGATGGAGTCATTAAGTATGAACAAAAAGAAATCTGTTCAAAAATGTATGCTATAATGAACTTTATTGGACTTCTGCAGATTTGTTGGGCCCGCTACCGACATAACCATTCCCGGAGGTGTGCGCGTTATCGATGCTGCAGGACGAATGATTATTCCGGGAGGCATTGATCCTCACACACATATGCAATGTCCCATGGGAGATCATGTATCCGTGGACGAGTATGTATTCACTTCTTAAATTCCTTAAAGTTAGTTTTAATATAATTTATTTTTGGCAGCTTTTATCGCGGAACCAAAGCGGCTGTGGCTGGTGGCACCACGATGATAAGTAGGCAACACTTCATTTGTTCGAGTAAATAGTTAATAATAATTACAATTTTTACCGAAATTAGTTGATTGTGTTCTGCCCAAAAAACACGAGTCTCTGGTGGAAGCCTATGACAACTGGCGAGCCTGGGCGGACCCGAAGGTGTGTTGTGACTATGCCCTGCATGTGGGCATAACTTGGTGGTCGAAATCGGTTTCCGAGGAGATCGGCATTCTGTGCAAAGAGCTGGGTGTGAATTCCTTTAAAATGTATATGGCCTACAAAGGCCTCTACATGTTAGGCGATGCTGAGCTCTTGGATGTTTTCGAAAGAATTCGATTTCTTAATGGAATTGCATTGGTAACTTTTACTGGTTGGCCTCAGCTCTATGTATGATTTCTATAAGAATTATTTTTTTTATAAGGTCCATGCTGAAAATGGTGATATCATAGCCAAGAACACAAAGAGCCTGTTAGCCGATGGTAACTGTGGCCCTGAGGCGCACGAGCTTTCGCGCCAAGAGGAAGTTGAAGCCGAGGCTGTACACCGCGCCTGCATTTTAGCCCACCAGGTAAGTATTTTCTTTGACAAAGAAAAAAAAAGCTAAATAAACTTAGTTGAAAATTGTATAAAAAAAATGCTCGTGGAACTTGGGGAAATGTTACAATACACAATAAAATGTACATAAATATATTTCTTTAATTGATGATTTACTTTTTTAATTTACTATTATTTCCATTATGTATGATGCACCCTTGTACATAAATAAGAATGTATGCGGTTTGTGGCACTTGATATAACTCCAATAATATAACCCCTGATGTTGCTGCACTTTCACAAAATATATAAAGTTTGATTGTCTGCTAAATGTACTATTGTGACACACGATTCGAGAGATTCGAGAATCGGTGCCAGCACTAATATCAAGTAACTGGCTAGACCAATCCTTGGGTCCAGTAACTATACGAAGACGATCGAGTTCCTGATCAAGCTTCTGGCGAAGTAAGTAATATAGATACTGGATTGTCGAACAGACTTAACGCCCATTTACCGAATTTGATCTCATACTACTTCAAAACCCCATTGCAATATAAATCCTTAACAACACCGATTAAGCTATATCAACTATTCTATATACAAATTAAAATCTGCCTAGATGAAAACACCCCTATACGTCGCTGGTGTCACAAGCAAGTCCTCCGCCGAACTCATTGGACGCGCCCGCCGTAGCGGCTATTCAGTGTTCGGGGAAACTCTCGCCAGCTCCATAGGCCGCAGTATGAGCAGCGTTGGCAAAGCGGAGCGGGTTTATTTTATTACCAGTCCGCCTATTCGCATGTCTGCCGAAACGCCAAGGCAGCTGATGAAATCCTTGGCATAGTAAGTAATTTATTGACCCGAATCCAGCCTCAAGTAATTAACGATTCCCATTTGACAGTGATGATTTACAGGTAACAGGCAGTGACAACTGTACTTTCAATAAAAAGCAAAAAGAACTCGGCTTATCAGACTTCACTAAAATCCCAAATGGCGTCAACGGGGTGGAGGATCGAATGTCGGTGGTGTGGGAGAAGGGAGTGCATCAGGGCGTCCTCGATCCCTGCAGATTTGTCGCTGTCACCAGCACTAATGCTGCAAAAATCTTTAATATCTATCCGCAAAAGGGACGAATTGGTGGGTAGCTCCAGATATACTTCTATATACACAGATTCATGTATGTTTGCAAAGAAATACTCATATGATTTGATTATTTGCGTAGCTGTTGGCTCGGATGCAGACATTGTCATATGGAATCCACAGGGCACACGAACCATTTCCAAAGACAGCCATTACCATGCTTGTGATTATAATATTTTCGAGGGCATGACTGTACATGGAGTCGCTGAATATGTGTTAGTGCGCGGTCGAGTGTGCGCCGAGAATGGAGCAGTTCGCGTTGCAGAAGGATATGGACGTTTTATACCGATGGCGGTGCGCCCGCCATATGTTTATGACATTGTTAAGGAGAAAGTGCACGTGCCTGAAGAGCATCCCGAAGAAAATCAAAATGGCAATCTGGCCAAGAAGTTTGCTGAATTGGATATACTAATTCCAGAAGAGAAGACAATGTCTGCTCTGGTTGCTGAGAATCTGCCAATTATGACAGGACACTCCCCTTGCAGCACACCTTCGGTGCGCGGTCGAGTGGATGGCAAGAGAGACATGCAGGAGTCCTCTTTTTCGATTAGCGGTGAGTTGGCCCAAATATTATGGACTTATTTTGTTTTATTCGGATATATTTCTTCTTTCAGAGGAATTGGACAAATCCGGCGTTCGATCTTGCATTAAAGTAAAGAATCCGCCTGGAGGAAAATCATCTGGATTTTGGTAAAAAATTTCAGACGACCATATAACATAATCGCACAACGCGATCCTTATGACCAGA